AAACAGGAGCAAAGTAGAAGGGAAGGAATGGTTGAGGCAGGGAGGTCCGGAGCACAGGCAGGGGTGGGAAGATTGGCTTTATACTAAAATCACATTCTTTCCCTGTGAAGTGAGGCAAACTAAGGGAGATTTTAACAGTTAAGAAATTTTCTCCTTTGCTTACATATTAAATCACTACCAGAAAAAGATACAAATTAAACACCTTGTAATAAAATCTTATCTCACTGACTACTATGGTTATGTCAGAGAGCCCTTCCCATTAGAAGACTTAGAGACATTTTCTTCAATACAAAGTACATATCATACTTGAGAAGCATAATAATCTCTTTAAATAACTTTTATGTTTTAGTAACATATAGTTTGTATTAATAATTGCTAGTTAATTGCAGATTATATTTGCACGGTACTTTATTCTTCTGTAAAAACACTTCTCCATATATTCTTCGATCCCCAGACTCCCAACATCTAAAGCTCAGCATTCTATTTCTTTTTTTGTTTGTTTGTTTTGTTCTGTTGTTTTGTTTTGTTTTATCATCCTCACCTGAGGACTTTTTTTTGTATTTATCTTCAGATAGAGCAAGAGGGAGAGAGGGAGGGAGAGAGAGAGAGAAACATCGATGTGAAAGAGACACATCGAGTGGTTGCCACCCACACTATCCCAACCGGGGCCAGGGACAAACTGCAACCAAGGTACATGCCCTTAGCGGGAACCGAACCCAGGACTCTCTGGTCCGAGGGCCAACACTCTAACCGCTGAGCCAAATTAGCCAGGGCCTATTTCTTATTTTAGAGACAAGAATTCTGAAACTAAGCTCTATATTAATCAGTGCCGTCTTTTATTGAATGATTAAACAGAAGAGAACCATGCTATGCTCTTTATATGTATTATCTCATTTAATGCTCATAATTAAACCATGAGCTAGTTAGAATCTCTGTTTTCTATGGTTCTAAGGTACTACAAATTGAGATCTGATTGATTTCAAAGTCTATGCTTGAGATCACTACAAGTTACTGAATATGTGACTTACCTAAGCTCACTGAGCTAGTAAGTGACAGAAGAGGGAATAGAAATAGTCTATTAGCCCTTAATTTTTTCATGCAGCCCTAATGGAGAATTTTAGTATAATGGATAATCAGTCTTAAAAGGTCATTGCACAGTCATTAAAAAACAAATATTTAATTAGTTCATATAAATAATTCTGTTTTTGGAAATTCTAATAGATTTAAGTGTTTCAGGTGACCCTATTGTCTTTATTATTCCTTCATATATAAAGCAGTACTAATTAGATGGGAAATGACATGGAAATACTTAGAATTAAAATAATGTTAGTGAACAGTTTTGCATTGAAATAAGGGCATTCGGTTCAAGTCGGCCAGGTAGTTCGTAGCACTTAGTCTGTGAGGTTCATCTGTGCCGATGAGGAGACACTGGCCCTCTGAAGAAATTCGCAGTTCATCCTCAAAGAATTACATTTAGTAAATCTGAATATTCTTTTAAGAAATTATTAGGATTCCTCCTTGGGGATTATGTTTAGTAAAACTGAATATTCATGAAAGAGATTATTAGAATTCCTTAGTGATTTTTATTCTGCATTTATCAGAAGAAAATAAATGGGTTAAGCGCACATAGAGGTATATACTTATAAAACCAGGTGCAGAAAAAGAATCTAAGTGTTACAATGAGAGAGAAATAGTGCTTTCAAGGAGCATGAGAAGGGAACTGTCATAGCATGTTGGAACAGAAGGGCATCAGCTAAGGCCATGACATACATGATGTTTGAGATGAGCCCTAATGGATGGGTAGAAATCCAGAAGGCAGTTGGGGCAGGACATTCACACACCAACGGTAGTATAAGTAAAAGCAGAGGCTGTCATTTTCTTATACGTGGTGTGTGTGTGGATTAACAAAAAGGCACAAGACTGACACCTGGGACCTTGTTGCAGAAGGCCTTGAATTTGAATACTGTTTGTCTCTGGGGCAAATGCAATAGAGTGGAAAACAACACTGGATTGGGAGGAAGGAGATGTGTGTGGACATCCTGGTGGTGGCGTTTGTGAACTGAGTGAACTTGGGCAAATCACTTAATCTTTTTGAGCTTTGACTCCCTCAGCTCCAGGATGAATATCCTAGTAATTACTTTAAGGGCTGGGTGTGTAGGAGAGAATTCATGTGTAGGTATCTGAACCTGTACTCACAGCAGGAGTCACTGTTGTCATCACTGCCGGTGTCATCACTGTTTTCGGTATACGGTCATCCCTCGCCACTTCATGCTGCGACCTTCACGATAGAGTGAAGCCACAAGCCACAAAGACCGCAGCGCTGCCCTGGCCGGTTTGGCTCAGCGGTTAGAGCGTTGGCCTGCGGTCCAGAGAGACCCGGGTTCGGTTCCCGCTAAGGGCACGTACCTTGGTTGCAGTTTGTCCCCGGCCCTGGTTGGGTCATGTGGGTGGCAACCACTCGATGTGTCGCTTTCACGTCGATGTTTCTCTCTCTCTCTCTCCCTCTCACTCTATCTGAACAAAATATCGAAAAATGTCCTCAGGTGAGGATAAAAAAAAAAAAAGACCGCAGCGCAAAGTGGCAAGGGACGACTGTATATAAATAGAGAATCCTACTTCGGGGAGATTCATTTATTGTGGTAGAGTCTGGAACTGATTAACCGTGATAAAGGAGGGCCCACTGTATGTGATGGTATGAAGATACTGGAGAAGTGGCGCTTTCCATTTTGATCCGCACTTTAGGAAAAATAAGTTGACAGAAGTGTGGAGGATGGCTTAATAATAACAGAAGAAAGAGAACCAATCAGGAAGCTCCTCAAGCAATTCAGGTTAAAAATAATGAAGGTAGCCCTGGCCGGTTTGGCTCAGCGGTTAGAGCGTTGGCCTGCGGTCCGGAGAGACCCGGGTTCGGTTCCCGCTAAGGGCATGTACCTCGGTTGCAGTTTGTCCCCGGCCCTGGTTGGTCGTGCGGGTGGCAGCCACTCGATGTGTCCCTTTCACATCGATGTTTCTCTCTCTCTCTCCCTCCTGCTCTATCTGAACAAAGAATGAAAAAGTGTCCTCGGGTGAGGATAAAAAAAAAAAAAAAAAAAAAAATAATGAAGGTGTGCCCTGGCCGGCTTGGCTCAGTGGTTAGAGCATCAGCCCATGGACCAGAGAGACCCAGGTTTGGTTCCCGCTAAGGGCACATACCTTGGTTGCAGTTTGTCCCTGGCCCCGGTTGGGGTCCTGTGGGTGGCAGCCACTTGATGTGTCTCTCACGTCGATGTTTCTCTCTCCTTCTTTCCTCCTGCTCTACCTGAAGATAAATGCAAAAATGTCCTCGGGTAAAGATAAAAAATAAAAAAAATAAAAAATAATAATAATAATGAAGGTGTGATTAGGACAGTAGTTCAGGTAACCAGAAAGAAAGATAGAGGCACTGCAGAGATACTGTTTAATTTTCTATTCACTGAAAAATGGACTAAGGACCTACTCTGATCCTGGACATAGTCCTCACAAGAGAGAACAAGGATCGAGACACAGAGTAGGATGTGCAGATGCTTGGGGTGTGCGGTGAGAGGCCCAGAAAGGGTCACTGGTCTTCCTTTGCTTTCCATTGGAGAAACCTTGGTACCAGCAGGAAGAAAAGGGACACCTCGGGGGGGGGTGAGCTTCACCCACCCGTGGTACATGTGTTGCAATGGGCAGGAGATGATGGAGGGCCAGTAAATCCTTCCAGGAGGTGTGACTGCCCTCACTCTCCCGTGCCCCCTGTGGGTGTACACCATCTGGGGTGCCGGGGAAGGAGAGTGACCCAAGGAAAAAAGGCACAAGATCATCCTCAAGAAACTCTCACCCCAAAGTCCTGACAGATCCCTTTCAACACCACCCCACCTCCAACTGAGGGAGGAGAGAAAAGTCTTCAGCTACAGAGAGACTTTCTCACTTCTCTGAAAGTAGGCCCACTGCTCCTTGCTTGCTGAGGTTTGGAAGTGGGTGTAAATCCAAAATCGGGTTCAGAACCTATTTGTAAACTGTAAGTCAGTGTCCTGGTCATCAGAAATTGATTCAACTTAATTCCACAGTCACTCAGTGAATGCAAATATCTTCCAGGAGATGGACCTGACAAGAATACTGGAAGTGATGGAAAGGACCCGCCTCCCTCACAGCTCAGGGAAAGGGTGTGGCAGCTTAGTGCGTGCTGAGCTGAAGCTGTCTTCTTAATACTGTTGTCAACATCACAACACACTTTCTTTGTTTCATAGGTGTGACTTGTGTCTTCACTTCTCCATAAACGACATTTTTATGAAGACCAAAGTGATGTGTGCGAGCTTATTGAAAACTCATACTAATATGAGTGTCTAATAAAAGATCTCTAAAGTTGAAAGTGCCTTATGCCATCCTTTAGAAACACCCTGTGAATTCTGTGGGATCAAGTCCCAGAGAAGCAACCCCCTTCGTATGGCATTTCCCACAGAACTTTGCCACCAGGTTGTCCCCTTTTTCCTCAGGCTTAATTGAAGCGAAAATAGGATAACATTGTAGAACTGTGCAGTGGTTCTCAACCTCCCTAATGCCGCCACCCTTTAATACAGCTCCTCATGTTGTGTGGGCAGATCTGCATGTGGGCGGACCCGCCTGGAGATGGATCGAGGAGCGGTGGAGGAGCGGTGTCTCGGTTCCTAAGACCATCGGGAATATGTGTTTTCCGATGGTCTTAGGCGACCGCTGTGAAAGGGTCGTTCGACCCCCAAAGGGGTCATGACCCACAGGTTGAGAACCACTGAATTGTAAGGTATCAAGGGGCATGAGGATAGCCATGGAACCAAAGAATTAGTAAAATTGGGGGGTATCATAAAAGTGGCTTTCACATTTTTTAAGATCCCTTTCATTCCTTATTCATCTCGTGTTTATATCTTAGCCCTCCACGCCTTATCAACGCAGGCTTTATAGCTTCTTTATATGCTGCCTACTTGAAATACTCTCTGTATTACAGTGTTTGCTTTTCCTCCCTTTAGGAGATGACCTGGCTACCACCACTTTCTGCTATTCAGGCACCAGGCAAAGTGGAACCAAGCAAATTTTCATTTCCAAATAAGGTGAGATCCTGTGTCACTCAGGAACAATAAGCTTAGTTCACGCAGAATTTTTCATGGACATTGGGTTTCCCCTTGATTGTCTTTTCCATTATAAATATTCCTGCTAGAGGCATATGGATCTGATTTTCAACATTTTGCAAACATACATTTATTCATCAAAGTAGAAAATCAAGACTGCAATTTTACTTACCTACACTTCTATACTTAATGCAAAATGTGATGCTTATTATAATTGTCATTTTTATCTAAAACTATTTGTGAAGTTGAAATGCATCTTACAATAATTTTGTACAATCAGTGTGATTATATGCTTGTTTTTTCCTGAAAAACTGTCTTTGAATTAATGATGAATCTTAAAATCAGTGTCTTAGAATTGAGGACCTGTAGTATTTAATTTGTCTTGGGTATCTTTTGTAAAGCATAAAATATTATCTCGGACTTTAAAAGAAAAGATTTCCATATTTTTTAAAGACAAGTACACACAAAAATTAGCCACAAAATATATTTAAATTTTATGTGAGTCTAATGTGTTTTATTTGAATACAACTAACATGTCACTTCATACTTGTTACAAAGATGAAATTATGCAAATAGAAAGAGCAAATAATGAAAGTTTCCAGTACCCTCATCACTATTTCATTTTACTACCTAGTGGTTACAACCAGGAGTTTGATGTGTACCATTTCAGTTACTCTCTGTGCACTATATATACACATATGTGCGTATGCAGTTTCTAAAACTCATAAATGGTATAGTACTAAAAGCATTTTTTCTAAGAGTTGATTTTTTTTTCCCCATATACCCACAATACATAAATATCATTGCTAAATAATAATACCACAACTTGCCCTGGCCGGTTTGGCTCAGCAGTTAGAGCGCTGGCCTGCGGCCCAGAGAGACCCGGTTTTGGTTCCCGCTAAGGGCATGTACCTCGGTTGCGGTTTGTCGCCTGCCCTGGTTGGGTTGTGCGGGTGACAGCCACTCAATGTGTACCTTTCACATCGATGTTTCTCTCTCTCGCCCTCCCACTCTATCGGAACAACAACAACAAAAATAATACCACAACTTTCCTGCGTGAATATGTGAAATAATTATTTATTATAATTATCACAATGATAAATTCCATTCTGAGAATTATTTTTCTTTTTCTTAACAAAGTGTATTTGGTGAGTCTTCCAAGTGAATATATGTTTTCTTTATTCTTCTTAACAGCAGCAAAATATTTCATCGTATGAATTTGCTGTAGTTTCTTGAATCAAGCTCCTTTCGATGGACATTCGGATTGTTTATGGTTGGTTGTTATCACAGACACTGTTTCAGCAAACAGCTTCGTGTAGATGCCTCTTTGAATGCCTCGGGCACGGATGCCTAGACGGGAGCTTCGGGGCCAGAGGCATCAGAAGTGTAGTTACCCTTGACCGTGTTTCCAGAATACTTTCTTAGGCATCTTTGCCAGTGTTTAATACTACCTGGCTTTTGTCCTTATTTCTAGGTGAAAAATTGCTGTCTCATTGTTTTCATTTGCCTTTCTCCAGTTTCTGAGTTTGAGCAGGAACTGTTTTGCCTTTGCCACCTGCCCATTCATAGTCGTTGCTCATTCATATCACATTTTAAAAAATGATTTGTAGGAACTTCTTATAGCTTATTCATGTGTCTATTATGTATGATACAACTGTTTTCTTGTAACTTGATGTATGTACCTTTTATACTAGCAAAGTGTTTCATTTTTGTCAGAGACGTTTTTTAAAAAATCTTCCCTGCACCAATATTCTAACAATATTCTCTGTTGTATTCTAAGTCTTTTATAGTTTTTGGTTATAGGTTTTAAAAAAGTTGTGTGGCCCTGGCTGGTTTGGCTCAGCGGTTAGAGCGTTGGCCTGCGATCCAGAGAGACCTGGGTTTGATTCCCACTAAGGGCATGTACCCCTGTTGCAGTTTGTCCCTGGCCCTGGTTGGGTTGTGCGGGTGGCAGCCGCTCGATGTGTCCCTTTCACATCAATGTTTCTCTCTCTCTCTCCCTCCCACTCTATCTGAATAAAAAATGGAAAAATGTCCTCAGGTGAGGATAAAACAAAATTTTTTTTTAAGTTGTGTGGATGGTGTAGCAAAGGATTCTGGGTTTATTCTTATCAATGGCTAGTAGATTATTACAACGCTGTTCATAAAAGTAGCCCATAGTTCCCACCACTGTTTTGAAATACCATACTTATCAATAATTAAATGTCTTATAAATACATAGATTTGTTGTAGGACTATCCTGTTTTGTTTGTTTTTTTTCAATACAGTTATCTGCTTCTTTCCCAGTAATTTATTGTTTAAATCAAAGGTTGACAGACTTTTCTGTAAAGGCTCAAATCGTAAATAGTTCAGGCTTTGCAGACCATACATAAATGAATGACTGTAGCTATGTTCAAATAAAATTTTATTTACAGAAACAGGTGATAGTACAATATATAAATAACTCTTATAATTCAACAATAAAAGGATAATTAACTCATTTTAAGAATGGGCAAAGGATTTAAATAGATAATTCTCCAAACATTTATTTATACTTATTAGCCACCTACAAATGGCTAATAAGTATATGAAAAGATACTACCACTATTATTAATCAAAATCACATTGAGATAATGAGTCATACCTACTTAAATAGCTAAAATCAAAGACAAACAGTAACAAATGCTAGCATGGGTATAGAAAAATTGGAAGCCCTGCTATTAGTTGCTAGTGGGATCATGAGAGTGGTACAGCCTCTTTGAAAATCATGTAGACAGCACCTCAAGCATTGCATTATCCTGTGATCCAGCAAGTCCACTCCTAGATAATATGCCCTAGAGAAGGAAAGCTCATGTCTGTACCAAACTTAGATATACACATTCATAGCAGCATTAATCGTAATAGCCAATAAATGGAAACAACACAATTGTCCTTCAAGTGATGAATGGATCAACAAAAGTGATATATTCTTACAATGGAATACTTTTCAGGCATAAATAAGAATGAAGTGGTGATACTTGATACAATGTGGATAAACCTTAAAACCATTATACTAAGTGAAAGTGAAAGAAACCAGTAACACACAACCACATATTATTTGATTTCATATATCTGAAATGTCCAGAATAGGCAAATAGAGACAGACAGAGAATAGATTAGTGGTTGCTTGCAGCTCAGAGGGGGAGAGGTGGGGTTGCATGATAGCTAAAGGGTAAAAGATTTCTTTTTGAAGTGATAAAAGTATTCTAAAATTTATTATGGTAATAAACTCTGAATATGCTAAAAAGCATTAAATTGTTTAAAACAAAACAAATCAGAGGCTGGGCTATATTTGGCCTGTGGGCCGCAGTTAGCTGTCTCCTAATTTAAATTCTTGGTGATTTCTGACCTATTTATACATACATGTGGTCAGGCCAACGCCTTTTTTTGTTATTGAAAGGTCCTGTCTATTGTACATTTTTGTCTTCCAGATCAATTTAAGAATCATCTTGATGACCTGTTGCCCCTTATAAAAATCTTCTTGGAATTTTGTTTGGTTTCTAATTTAATCTAAGCAAGTATATCTATCTGACTATATTATCTTCCTGTCCAGGAATTTGAACTTATCTCTCTCTGCACTTCTTTTCATAACTTTTTGCACGTTCTTTGGTAAACATTTTTTTTTTTCTTGTAGGTCTTTTACACTGGTTCTTTGGTTTATTCTCAGATATTTAAAGATATTTGCTTACTTTGCTATTTAAATGAGCTTTTTAAAAGTTTTTATATTTTCTAATTAGTCCTCGATGGTGTGAAGAAAATTGACTGGGTTTTATATATCTACTCACTGAATTCCTTTCAATAGACTTTTTGGTAAACTTACATTTTTCTAGTAGGGGAAAATAGAAGGAATAACAAGGAGGAGGATGGATGGTGATGGTGACTGAGAATGGATGAATTTTCAGTAGAGACCTTAAGAAAGACCTTCCTGAACATCTCAGTACATCTCCACACAAGCTGAATAAACTATTCCGCTAAACCCAAGCATGTTCCATTTATGTATATTTTGGAAAATAGCGTGGGAGGGGGTTGACTGCAGAGCGCCAAGGGGAGATCTGGGTGACTTTTCAATAGAGAGCTTCAGGAAGACCTTCCTGCCCTGGCCAGTGTGGCTTGGTGATTAGAGCATCAGCCCGTGGGCCAAGGAATTGCAGGTTTGATTCTGGTCAGGGGCACGTACCTTGGTTGCGGTTTGGCCCTGGTCGGGTCATGAGGGAGGCAGCCAATCAATGTGTGTCTGTCACATTGATGTTTCTCTCTCTCTCTCTCTCTCTCTCTCTCTCTCTCTCTCTCTCTCTCTCTCTCTCTCTCTCTCCCCTTCTCTGTCTGAAAATAAATGGAAAAATATCCTCAAGTAAGGATTTAAAATAAAATAAAATAAATAAGAAAGACCTTCCTGAGGAGGTAGCATTTGAGCAACTCCCTGAAGGAGGTGAGGGAGCAGGTCATGCAGACAAGGGGGGAAGAGAGTTTCGCAGAGATGGAAGAGAAGGTGCAAGTTCCATGCGGCAGGAACATGCCTGGATGTCAGAGGCACCGCAGGGCCTGCAGGGCTAGGGCAGAGCAGATGGGTGTGGAACAGCAAATGACACAGAGGTGAGGACAGAGTAGGGCTGTTGGGACTCTGCTGCTCTGCTCTGGGTGAATTGAGAAGTCATGAAGAATTTTGCAAAGAACAAGTTTGTTCTGTCGTATTCTTATTGTGTCAGCTGGAACCTCTTACATCTTTGCCTTATTCATGATGTTGAGGAGGATTCCACGGCATTATTATTGAATAATAATTGCTTTTTATAATCTGTGTCCCGCCAAGGTAGCTTCTGTCTGTTCCTAGCATTCGGAACATTTTAAAGGTTTGAATTCTCTTTTCATTTTAAAATTAAGGTATAATTTACAGACAGTAAAATTCACCCTTTTTACTATCCTGCAAGTTTTGACAAATACCACCCAGATCTCCCTTGGCACTCTGC